TGTGCTGGGTCGGCAGAAATGCCAAAATGGGTGTGGGGGACGCATTTGGGCGGTCCCACTGGAGGCTTCGGTGGAGCTCCCTGTGGCGGACGCACGCGGGCGGTCCCACTGAGGGCTTCGGTGGAGCTCCCTACGGGGCCACGAAATGCTGTACTGGGCGGGTGAAAACGCCAAATTGGGCATGGTGGACGCATGCGGGCGGTCCCTTTGGGGGCTTCGGTGGAGCTCCCCATGGGGCTACGGAGCGCTGTACTGGGTGGGTGACAATGCCAAATCGGGTGTGGGTGACGCATGTGGGCGGTACAACTGGGGGCTTCGGTGGGGCTCCCTATGGGGCCACGAAGCGCGGTACTGGGCGGGTGAAAATGCCAAATTGGGTGTTGGGTGCGAATGCGGGCGGTCCCACTGGGGGCTTCGGTGGAGCTCCCTATGGGGCCACAAAACGCTGTGTTGGGTGGGTGACAATACCAAGTTGGGTGTGGGGGACGCACGCGGACGGTCCCACCAGGGGCTTCGGTGAAGCTCCCTAGTGGGCAATGGGTGGGCAAAAATGCCAAATTGGACGTGGGGGGCGCATGCGGGCGGTCCCAATAGGGGTTTCGGTGGAGCTCCTTATGGGGTCACGAAACGCTGTACTGGGTGGGTGATAATGCCAAATTGGGCGTTGGGGACGCATGCGGGCGGTCCCATTGGGGGCTTCGGTGGAGCTCCGTATGGGGCCACGAAACGCTGTACTGGGAGAGTGAAAATGCCAAATTGGGCGTGGGGGACGCATGCGGGCGGTCCCACCGGGGGCTTCGGTGGAGCTCCCAATGGGGCCACGAAACGCTGTGCTGGGTGGGTGAAACGCATGGAAGAAGGAGGAGGGAGGGGGGGAGGAGGAGGAGGAGGAGGAGGAGGAGGAGGAGGAGGAGGAGGAGGAGGAGGAGGAGAGGAGGAGAGGAGGAACGCGGGGCGATGTCTCTTCAAAACGATGACCCAACATCACAGGATGGTTGGGGAGAAAAAACTGTCGATGGGCCCAACCAAATGCAGTTGTGAACACCGCTGTTGTAGGTATCGCCTTCGGTGGAACCCCCTTGTAGGGCCACGAGACGCAGTACTGGGTGCAGCGGACGCATACGGACTGCGCCAGTGGAACCTTCGGTGGAGCTCCCTATGGGGCCACGGGACGCTGCAAGGGGTGTAGCGGACGCATGCGGGCTGCGGCAGTGGGACCTTCTGTTGAGCTCCCTATGTGGCCAGGAAGCGCTGTACTGGGTGTGGCGGACGCATGCGGGCACCCCCACTGCGGCCTTCGGTGGAGCTCCCTATGGGGCCACGAAACGCTGTACAGGGCGTGGCGGACGCATGCTGGCACCCCCACTGCTGCCAACGGTGGAGCTCCCTGTGGGGCCACGAAACGCTGTGCTGGGTGTGGCCGACGAATGCGGGCACCCTCACTTGGTCATTCGGTGGAGCTCCATATGGGGCCACGGAACGCTGCACTGGGTGTGGCGGACGCATGCGGACACCCCCACTGGGGCTGTCGGTGGAGCTCCCTACGGGGCCACGAAACGCTGTACTGGGTGTGGCGGACGCATGCGGGCCCCCCCACTGGGGCCTTCGGTGGAGCCCCCTGTGGTGCCACGAAACGCTGTACTGGGCGTGGCGGACACATGCGGGCACCCCCACTGCGGCCTTCGGCGGAGCTCCCTGTGGGGCCACGAAACGCTGTACTGCGCGTGGCGGGCGCATGCGGGCACCCCCACTTGGTCCTTCGGTGGAGCTCCCTGTGAGGCCACGACACGCTGTACCGGGTGTGGCGGACGCATACGGACACCCCCACTGGGGGCTTCGGTGAAGCTCCCTATGAGGCCACGAAGCGCTGTACAGGGCGTGGCGGACGCATGCGGACACCCCCACTGGGGCCGTCGGTGGAGCTCCCTATGGGGACACGAAACGCTGTACTGCGCGTGGCGGACGCATGCGGGCACCCCCACTTGGTCAATCGGTGGAGCTCCCTATGGGGCCACGGAACGCTGCACTGGGTGTGGCGGACGCATGCGGGCACCCCCACTGGGGCCGTCGGTGGAGCTCCCTATGGGGCCACGAAACGCTGTACTGGGCGTGGCGGACTCATGCGGGCACCCCCACTTGGTCCTTCGGTGAAGCTCCCTGTGTCGTATGCGGACACCCCCACTTGGTCATACGGTGGAGCTCCCTATGAAGCCACGACACGCTGTACTGGGCGTGGCGGACGCATGCGGGCACCCGCACTGCTGCCTTCGGTGGAGCTCCCTATGTGGCCACGAAACGCTGTACTGGGCGTGGCGGACGCATGCGGGCACCCGCACTGCTGCCTTCGGTGGAGCTCCCTATTGGGCTTTGAAGCGCTGTACTGGGCGTGGCGGACGCATGCGGACACCCGCACTGCTGCCTTCGGTGGAGCTCCCTGTGGGGCCACGAAACGTGTGAGGGGTGTGCTGCAACGGATGATGGTGATGATGATGATGATGATGATGATGATGATGATGATGATGATGATGATGATGATGATGACGATGATGATGATGATGACGATGCTGATGATGGTGATGATGATGATGGTGATGATAATGATGCTGATGATGATGATGATGGGGGTGATGGTGATGATGCTAATGCTGATGCTGATGATGCTGATGATGATGCTGATGCTAATGCTGATGATGATGATGAAGAAGAGGCAGGGGGCAGCGGGAGGAGGAGTGAGCGCGTGGACCGTCTCTTCAAAACGAGGACCCAACACCACATGATGGTTGGGGAAAAATTAATGAACGGTTTAGTGAAGTGGGTCGGAGCGCAGGCGAACGCCCACTGGGGGGAAGAGAGAAAGCAAAACTGAGGCGAAAAGGAAGGACGCAAGTGCGTGATCGCGCGTGCGCAAGAGAAAGCTTCCAGGCGAGAACACAAGCAGGAAAACTGGCAGCGAGCGACTGCATGACTGTGGCAGATTAGTGAGCAGGTGAACTGATGAGCGCGGCAGCGAGTGCATGACTGCTTGAGTAGTGCGGATACGACGGGCTCGTGTCGTGACGACCGCCGCACTGGCTTCTAACACCGCGTGGACCGTTTTCCACCTGGCACGGTCGGCGGCGTCTCGATCGCCAGATCGCTCCGCCTTGGCCGACTCATGGCCACCGATGGCGTTCCCCCTCGAACGCCCGCGGCGGGGTCGCCGCCGCGTCGACACGACACGAAGCGACCGTACGCGCGAGGGCACGCGCGTTGGCGACCGACCGACTCGGTGGGCGGGGCCGGGCCGGGGGAAGGGTGGGGCAGGGGGCGGAGCGGGGAGGGGCAGGGCGTGACAGGACGGGGCGGAGCGAGACGGGATGGTCAGCGGCGCGAGACGATACGGCCGGGCCTGGGACAGAAGGGCATCCTTCAGGAACAGAAGACCCTCGGCTGGCCAAGCTGAAGAAGAGTCGAGGGTGCCCTGCCCCAGGATGCACAAGACCATTCAACAAACACGAAGAACCTTACTCTGGATGGGGCCCTACTCGCCCCCCCCCTTGGGGTTGGGCACGTCCTGTCGGCACGGGTGGAGTGGGGGTGGGAGGAGGAGGAGGAGGAGGTGGAGGAGGTGGAGGACGTGGAGGAGGAGGAGGAGGGGATGGGCAAGCTCCGTCGGCAGGTCAGTCGTCCACCCCTCGATGAATATCCGACCCAAGAGTAGGGCACCCTCCCCGAACCGACCTCGATCTGGTACCCCGGTCCGACCGTCGTCGGGCACAATCGGAACAGACCCCTCCTCCTCCTCATCCTCCTCCTCCTCCTCCTCCTCCTCTTCCAACCTCTGGGAAGGGGTGCGCCCCTTCCCCTGCCTTGCCCCCCGTGTCTGGAAGCCTCCACCACGCGCGAGGCGGTCAGGGGCGGCCAAGGCGGCCCCAGATGGCTCCCTGATTGCTCCAACCAGGCGAAGCCTCCAAGATCCAAGCACACCCAAAAGGTTAAAGGGCGTCCAGCTGAAAGGGAGTGGTACAATAGATTTGGGACAAGTGTATTGCACATATGTTGCGTCGTCGGAGACTTGTATTGCATTGTACTGCAAGTAATGTTTTGCACGCGAAAATCTAGCAATACATTTGCGGCCTGGGATGCATTGCACGCCCCAAATGTATTGCAACCCCACAAACCTATTGAACCAAATCTATTGCACCACCCCCTTGTCGCTGGACCCCTTTTCAGGTCAACCCGAAAGGTGGCACAAGATATCCGAATTTCGACCCAGACGGCCTCCAGCATGCTTCCGATACGCTTGAAGATGTCCCTAGGAACGCGGCCAGGGAGCATCACAAGGATGCCCATGCTGTACTACCACCTGGGCTTCGAGGCCTCAAGATGGCCCTAAGATGGCCCAATCGTTTCTCAAAAAGGGCCCAGGAGAGAACCAAGACAGCCCCGAAAGGCCCCAAAAAACTCCCTGGGAGTGTCCCATGAAGCCACCATGAGGCGATAGTTTGGAGCTCGGACAGGAGGACTCTAATCAAAGCCACCTCTTCTATGATCGATGGCCTCCACGATGACTCCAAGAGGGCCCGAAAGGCCCCCCAGAGGAACCCAGGAGAGCCCCAAGAGAGCTGCAAGGCTCCCAAAAGAGGGCAAAAAAGAGCCCCAAAATGGTTCCAAGAGCCCTCCAAGACGCTCCCAGAGATCCCCACGTTGGTCATGGTTAGGGGCTCTTCGGGCTAAGTGGCCCCAGTTTCGGTTTGAGGGGTGTTCCCCCGCTTTGTGTCACTCGTACTTCCCTGCCCATGTGACGACAAATCATCTGGGAACCGTTTCTGGCTGGGCGGACGTGGATACGCGAGGTGCCAAGAACTTCAAAGCCATAAAACAAGGAAGGCCACCTCAAAGCAAACAACAGTGTGTTGGGACGAAAAACAGCTGGCGCCAAAACGCCTGATAGAGCGCTAAGACAGGACAAAAGGCGCGCGAAAGACTCATACTGCAACTGCAGCGGTCATGCAGGCCGCCTCGAAAATGCTCATAAGGAAGAACAAGCTCGTCCGCTCGTCCGGATCCTCCCCCGTCTTACGGACGAAGTGCACATTCGCTGACAAGTCACAAGTGAAGCCGGAGACACAAATACAAAGGATTAAGCGCGGAGGAAGAGGAAATGGATCGAAGACACTGAAAGGGCAGCGGCAAGAAGAGGATGATTGAGGACTAAGAGCAGCAGCAGGAAGGGTGAGAAAAAAACGATCGGCTGCAAGAGGATTAAAGGCCGTCGGAGGCTATGAGGGTAACGGGGGGGGGACGCATCATGGCCCCAGGCGTGTGCGCGCCCGAGTGGGGAGCAGGGGATGTGTTGAAAGAAATGAGGGGGCCATGAAATTCGGAAGACTGCATGGCCACTGTAATGATGTCGACAGACCCCCAGTCATCCCCGCTCTACGGATAGGTCGGGCATGTCCCCCTACAGGCGGGTTCTGGGCGAAACTAATCGAAGAATGCTCCAAAAATTCTCAGACTATTTCTCACTATGTTTTGACTATTATAAAATTGTTCCTCTTGCATGTTGACTATGGTTTAACTATTGTTTGACTTTGACTATTTGTTTAACCTATTTTTTTACTAATCAAATCGTCCCCAGACTATTCTTTGGACTATGTTTGAATTCTCCTCCTGCCGAGGGGCACGCCCGACTCCACTCTGCGGCGCCCGGTGACCTCCGAGAGAGGCTCGCCTCGGGCCTCGGGCGGCCGCCTCGGGCCCGCTGCGGCACCCCTGGCAGAAGCCCTCGGCGCTGCGCAGCTGCTGAAAAAAAGCGCCCCGAGGCGAGGCCACCTCCAAGGATCAATGGACAGATCCTCCCTTCGCCCTCCTAAGGGGGCCACATGCGAACCCTACCCTTACCCCCTACGACTTCTGAGGGGGAGGGCGGGGTCCACTTCGCGCGGGAGCTCCCCAGCGAAGCGAACCCCACCCTCCCCCTCAGAAATCGCGGGGGGTAGGGGTAGGGTTCGCATGTGGCCCCCTACCTCCTCGACGGCGACAAAACGCCCTCGCCTCCCACCCTGTGGAAGCGCTTGAACTGGAATGGCGCCCGCTGCAGGAGAATACCGGGCAACATCTTCATTGGGCAGAACGTGATCTGGGAAGCCTCGAGCTGAGTACACTCCAAAGCAACACCTGCGCGAAAGGTACGAAAAACATGGGTACGATGCCTAACAAAAAACGTTGTACAATACCATCAGCGGCCGACTGTCGGGCAGGAGGCCTTCTGCCTCAAAACTCAAAACGGGCAACGCCCGCGGCGACACCGACAGCGAGTTCGTTTCAAAATGAGTAGAGAAGGGCATCCGTCTTTGTACCCACGTTTTCTGCATCGACATCTGAGTAGCCTCCAGGGAACGACATCCTGGCGTGCAGTGGGCTCGTTAAGGGTCTGTAGAGGTTTTAATGGTTTTGCAGTGGCTCTCTGGCGGTTCCAGGCGCTGGTGGTCTAAAACCCATAAAGCCAGTTGCTGCTAAAACCAAAGCCAATCCCGACAGGGGCCTGAATCCCTTGCCTAGCCGCTCATGAGCGCCTGCTCACCGACATCGATCGCCCCGACCCGAGCAGCACTTCCGAGTTATCCGGGATAAATCCGACCTGGGGAAACTCCTGCCTGGGCCCCCGACGCACGAAGCAGTAGTTAACCCTGACCACCCCCAGCCCCGATGATTCGGGAGGCGTTGGACGCCTGAGTCATCCGGGATAAATCGAGTCCACAGCAACTCTGATTTGGACCCCCGAGGCACGAATCAGGAGATCTCCCTGACCACCCACAGCCCTGATGACTCGGAGCTCTGAATGCCAGCGTTATGTCGGGCGTGTCCCCCATACAGGGGGATTTCCGACGAACAAATAAAAATACCCAAAAGTACCCCCAAGAAGTTCAACAAATACTCAAAAAGAATCCCCATTTACTATTGTTGGAACATTTGTTTTAACAATTTTGGGGGTATTCTTTATTTTTCGTCGAAAATCCCCCTGTAGGGGGACACGCCCGACACAATGCCAGCGTGAGGACCCTCCCTGGTCGCCTGGTCCGCGCTGGCACCCCTCCCTGGCCGCGCCCGAGGGGCTCCAGCGCAGACCCGAAAACTTCTCTCGCGGACCTCTGGAAATGTTTGTTCATTCCATCGCCAAATTTAAGTTGGGCCTGTCCCCCCTACAAGGGGATTGTCGACGAAAAACTAAAAATACCCCCAAAATAATCCAACAATAATCCAAAAATAGTCTGGGGACGATTTGGGGGGTATGTTTTGACTTTGTTGGAGCATGTGTGGTGTATTTTTAATTGTTCGTCGACAGTCCCCCTGTAGTACGGGGACAGACCCGAATTAACGCCAGTTCCCCGAGTCTTCTCCGTGACGGCCTCCGATCGGGCGTTGCCAGAACTGGGTTCAGTGGGACCTGGTTCAGCGATGCGTGCTGGGGGACGCCCCCCTAGCCCCGTTCCAATGACCGGAATTGCCGTCACCCCAAAAACACCAGCTACGGCAGACCTGGGTTAATGATTTTTCGGGGATCTCCTGACCCGGGTCAACCCAGACCTGGGTCAGCCAGGGCTTGCAGAATCCTGCAAGATCCTGCAAGACCCTGCACCCAAACCCGGGTCAACGCGAAAGGTCCTGCAAGATCCTGCAGGATCCTGCACCCAAGCCCGGGCCAATGGGAGCCTGGCCCTGCAGGATCCTGCAAAATCTAGCGTTCTGGCTGACCCCCGTTCGCATTGACCCCCGTCTCAAAACTCCCGGCTTCTGGCAGATTTAGGGGCTCCGGGGCCCTACCACTAACCGGGCCCCCTTACCTGGGGCCCTGGCAATACCCGAGTCCTCTCTGTGACAGCCTCCGAGCAGGCGCGAGAAGGGAGGGGAAGCACGTAGGAGGAGGAGGAGGCGGAGGAGGAGGAGGCGGAGGAGGAGGAGGAGGAGGAGGAGCAGGAGGAGGCGGAGGAGGAGGGGGGAGAGGCGGAGGAGGAGGAGGAGGAGGAGGAGGAGGAGGAGGAGGAGGAGGAGGAGGAGCGGGGGGAGGAGGAGACGTCTGGCGCCCAGGGCCGGTTTCCCGAAGGCCGGCCGTGTATTGCACACGCCCAGCCAACGATCTACCGCCCGGAAAGCCGCAACAGCTGCGCAGGAAGGGCA